AAAGGGAAAAGGTCATACTGACAAGACTACGCATAGGTCATACAAGAATTACGCACGGGCACTTTCTAGCAGGAAAGCGACGCATAGGTAACAGTTATGCAAGGTTAGAGTAACAGTCGAGCACCTTTTCAATTGTAGAAGGCTCGACGTTCATAGGCAATATTTTGGAATATCGTCGGACCTGTGCGTAGTCTTGGGGCACGGCAGCGGGCACAAATCGCTGTACCGGTACCTCAGGGCTATAGGGATTTTCAAATGTATACAGTTTATGTGTGTTTGTGCTGTGCTTGTGTTGTGTCTGAAGTGTTTATGTCATGTTGTGTGGTGTTTATGTTAATATATTAGGATGAATGTAATTTATTAGCGTGAGAGGAAGGGGTTATTTACCCCGCCCCGAGGAATATCGAGTACTCTGGGGAAGTGAATGTGACCAGACTTCTATGTTCACGGCGATATATATGTTATGTATTGTATGTTGTGTATCTATTCTTAAATTGACAACTTGAGGTACTAACAAGAGGCTAGCTTTTTAAAATAACGACGTAATATACAAGTAAAAGCAGAGAGTCAGCAACCAGATCGAGATGCTCAAATGGCTGCAGTTCAATACAAAATACTCGAGAAAGAGAGGAACGAGAAGGAATACACGCGGAGGGCCGGCGATGATTTCAGCTGTTTGTCGGCCCATAAACCTTCTACGTCATATATATACATAAAGCCATTTAGTGTACCAAAAAATAAACTCGAAAAATTAAAAAAAAAAACCAAAACCTGAAATTACTTTTTTACCAGTGAGATTTGGACACACAGTTCTTTGTTGCATATGGTTAGTAAAAGTGCCTCCTGAAACTTTCGACACTCATCGCCAGTCACCCTGTATATGTGTGTGTGTGTGTGTGTGTGTGTGTGTGTGTGTGTGTGTGTGTGTGTGTGTGCGTGCGTGCGCGCGTGTATATATATTATATACACTTATTATACAATTATTTATATATATATTTCCAAGTTAAATGTTTCAGTTAAATTATAACCGTGGGAAATAGGGAGTAACAACAATGTTCCATTTCTAATCTAAACAAGCCCCAAATGGGACATTTCGTGTGGAAATGCCCCATATTACTTCCATACAGGCTACAAAACGTAGGCACAAAGATTTAACATCCCCTGAAGTTAATGACTGTTTTTTTCAAACTTCTGCAAAAATGTTGGTGTAGGTTGTGATAACAACTCTTCAAAATTGTGGTTATGTCAATTTGTGTTGTTCTACACAGCAATTAGTCAAAACTGACCGTACGCTAAAACTATGATGAAAAATGAAAAAGAATATTCTGTTAAAAGATGATAAAAAAACCATTAGCACTCATAATCAATGAGGGTACCTACCGGGTTATATGAACACTCAGAGGGCGGAAGAATGCGGGGCCGCTAGATTCGAACCCGGGACCTTTAACTTACATGATGAAACGTGTCAACGGCTAAACCGTTGCGGCCACCGACGCCCCCTGCAGACAGTTTAATAACACCATTCCTCAAATCCAAACTGCTGAAGCATTGTTTAGACCTAATGCAATCCACCCGATAAAGTTTTTATTTATCGCCTACATGTGATAGGACATATTTCCAATGAGTTTCTAACTTGAGCGATTTCTCATTGCTGTTCATTTTTGGTATCAGAAGTGCCTAAAGTCAGCGCTCTTTAATAACCTTGTTACGAAGTAATGTTAACGAAGTCCCGGCCCGAGCTTTCCTTTCAACGATTAAGCTTGGATTTATGGACACTTTCAGGCGTCAATTATCAGCCCGGGGTGATTTATTTTTTCCACCGGCCGGCTCACTCGCTCCTTTTCCACCCTATTTTCCGGTGATTACATTTTCAAGATGTGGGTTGACAAGGGACCCGAAGAAAAACTGCGTATTAAATCGAAATATTTCTACTTTCATTTGTACTAAAATAACGATTTATCGGAGGCAAATTTGAAATCATTCATTGGCGAATCTTCGAATTGAATAAGTAGATGCAGTTTAATTAATTAATTATCGTTATTCCATAAGGCATAATAATAGTTTTAGATGTATATAGATCGTTGTACCTTCATGTTTCTGATAAGTATTATTTATTTAACAAATGTGTTTATTTGCGTGAATGGAGGGGCTTATCCCCCTTATACCCTGAAGAATATCGAGTACCCTGGAGTAGAATGAACCACGTCTGTTGTGTGAATGTAATTTATTAGCGCGAAGGCAGGGATTATCCCCAATTACCCCAAGGAATATCTAGTATCTAGGGTAGTGACTCTGACTATGTCAATGTAATTTATTTGCGTGAATGGAGGGGCTTATCCCCCTTATACCCTGAAGAATATCGAGTACCCTGGAGTAGAATGAACCACGTCTGTTGTGTGAACGAAATTTATTAGCGGGAATGGCTGGGTTTATCTCTAATTATCTCGAAGAATATCAAGTACTCTATGGTAGTTTGGATGCTCACCAGACTCTTGTTTCTGTGTATTTGTGTTTGTTTTTTGTGTTATTTTATCCGCAAATGACGAGGCCCTGAGGTACAGAGAGACTACAAATCATAAAACATCATACTCCGGTTGGAGGTATTATTGAATATGTGGTCCTTCAATTATTACTCTGTATTGTACATTAGCCAAGCTTTAGATAAAAACTGATAGATACAAAAGAGAAAGACAAAATGTAAAATATGGTTTATTGCGTCAAGTCCAATGGTATAATATGGCCAAACCTACTGGGCGTGCAACAACCATAGAAGAACAGAATTTTCTAATCACGCTGTTTAGTTGAAGCATAATTTTCCCTTTTTTATGGAAGAAATAAAAATCGTGGATATTGAAATTGTACTTGGACGCATTGTTAAAAGAGTCCATGTACACATTGTTATAAAAAATTTTCTACACAAATTATTTATGTATTTATGTATTCTATTATGTTTAGTGGTCTAATTTACCAAATTACTTCATTCAATTAATTATTCCTTTTACGTAAGGTTTTGGTTGAAATGAAAAAGTTAGTGCCACCAGCGGGATTCTAACCCACGACCTTCGGCTTTATTTATTTTTAATGTAAATATTATCTCTATGTTACGAAATTACCTGAATTTTGGTTAAAAAATTTATACTTTTATTATGTTGTTGTAATGCACTGAGAAAGCCAAAAATATAACCGAAAGCTGATGAAAGAAGAGGCATAATTTTCACTTTTTTATGGAAGAAATAAAAATCGTGGATATTGAAATTGTACTTGGACGCAGATTGTTAAAAGTGTGTATGTTTGTCCAAAAAAACTGTAATTCTAAAGACTGTTTTTTATCAAAAATTTTCTTCCATTGTATAAATTCATTTTTTTAATCTAAATTTTTCTAGCATTGTATAAATAAATTCATTTTTTTCTCACCTTCTACATGTATTTGTAAAATTTAAACAATGTTTATGTATCCCGACTCTGAAGATGATCTCAATAAAGGTCGAAACGTAGGCACGATAAAGAAAATGTTTTTCTAAAGCCTACGTCACACCAGACCGCATCTCACCATCTCCGAGTAATCATAGCTAATGTATAAATTGTTATAAAAATTATCTACACAAATTATTTATGTATGATATTACTTTATTTTTAATGTTTAGTGGTCTAATTGACCAAATTACTTTTTTCAGTTAATTATTCCTTTTACCTAAGGTTTTGGTTGAAATGAAAAAGTTAGTGTCACCTGCGGGATTAGAACCCACGACCTTTGGCTTTATTTCTTTTAAATGTATATATTATCTCATGTTACAAAATTGCCTGGATTTTGGTGAAAAATTATTATACTTTTATTATGGTGTAGTATGCTGAGAAATCGAAAATCTGGTGTACACCGGGTGTCCCAGTTCCTTCCGACGAAACTCAGGGAATCGATTGGAGAAAATTTTCGGAAAGTTCTCTATTTTGAAGATATTCGTTAATTTAGGTTTTTTCAATTTTTCACTACCTTACCACATAAAAAACGCTTACAACTTCCAAAATGTTGAGACTACAACAAATCCAATTACACCATTTGAAAGAACGCTAAATTTGCTGTAAGATACTTCTTTGCAATAATATGAATGACATAAAATGTTAGCCAACATCAGTTGGAACATGTCAAAATAACAAAATTTAAAATTTTGGTCATGATTGCACGTTGTACTGAGGTTACAAAAAAATACCTACAACTTATCAAATTTTACAAAAACTTCTTCATCTAACATGCTTTACGTTGATATATCCAGGTTTTTAAATAACGTTCTAGTAGAGTTGAAAAATAACAATTGAATGTTCGAAAACGTGAGCTAAGGTAAATTTTAAGGGGGGGGGGTAATATGAAGAAATTTTTGTGAAATTTGACAAGTTGTAGGTATTTTTTTGTAACCTCAGTAGAACGTGCAATCATGACCAAAATTTTAAATTTTGTAGTTTTGACATGTTCCAACTGAGATTGGCTAACATTTTATGTCATTCAGATTATTGCAAAAAGTATCTTCCAGCAAATTTAGCGTTCTTTCAAATGGTGTAATTGGATTTGTTGCAGTCTCAACATTTTGGAAGTTGTAAGCGTTTTTATGTGGAAGATAGTGAAAAGTTGAACAAACCTAAATTGACGAATATCTTCAAAATAGAGAACTTGCCGAAAATTTTCTCCTGAGCATTTTTTGCTCCAAATGAAGAGTAGAATCGATTCCCTGAGTTTCATCAGAAGTAACTGGGGCACCCTGTACAAAACTATCGTATTGTAATTGAGGGACCACATACGCAACAATATATCAAACCAGAGAATAATCAAATTGGTAGATAATGGAATTATCTTATAAAACATCATAACTTGACTGGAGAATCATTAAAAAAATTAGTAGGCTTATAGGGTCAGAAAAGAAAAATAATACTACGGAAGAGAGGGCTAGCGATGGACTATTTAGTTTGACCAGCCTAAAACTATAAAAATAAAAAAATAATTACAATCTTTGTAACTTTTAAGCTTATGTATTTTCTACATTGAATTACTGTTGTATTTTTTTTAACAATCTTTGGCATAACTTAAATACGTAATACTGATACTAGGCATCAAACTTTTTATAAGTAATAATAATAAGTAATACTAATACTAGATATCGAACTTTTTATTTTATTTTAAGTTTACTAGTGAGGTTTGTGAGAATTCCCCTCGAGATGTGACAGGGTTATCTTAGGGAGCTAAATATCATTCAAAATGTTGAGCTTACTCAAACTTTTTTGAAGAATTATTATATATCTAATAATTGTAAGGAAAATTGGAGTTGGCTATTTTCGACCTGCTCCACACGTCGATTTCATTGCTCTCCTTATCTGAAAGTGCCGTTTTCCAGCTGCCGACCACTCCTTCCCTCATAAAACCGCCAGCCTTGCTCTTTTTGAGTAGTTTCTCGTAATTGACAGACTCGTTGGTCTTCATGCTGTTGAAGGTGAGGTGATCCAAGAATCTACGCTTCACGTCTTCCGGAATGACGACGTTCAGGAAGTCGGCCGTGCGTTTCGCTACTCCTTCGAGATCCTGAAAATAAATTAGTTATTAGAGGAGCCGTTTGGGATGTGGGCGAACAGCGTACCTTTTTCATCTCTTCGTATGTATTGAACAGCACGTTCGGCTCATCTCTCATTTCCCAGTATTCAAGGACGTTTTCCCAGAACGAGCCGTATAGAACTACATGTTACAGTTAGCTAGATTTGCCCCTTTGTTCAATTGATTTTTTTTTATTCACCTTTGTCTTCGAGAAACGCTTGTACGAAATGATCCATACTGCCTTCATAGGACAGCCAAGCCTGGTGATGGTGAAAAAAAGAAACGGCGACATCTTTGGGATTTCTGTACACGTAGATTATCTAAATTGCAATGAGCAGAAATATTAACTTCCCTGACGATAAAACACCAAAAATATTTGCTTTCATCAATGTAAAAACCGAACGCTAAAATTAACTTTTTTTAAGTAAGGTATTGGCTGAGATAAAAAAGTCAGTGTCACGAGCGGGATTCGAACCCACGATCTTCGGCTAATACGCCGCTGCTCTATCACTTGAGCTATTGCGACTTCGATCCTCTCAAGTGGTAGAGCAACGGCGTATTTAGCCGAAGGTCGTGGGTTTGAATCCCGCTCGTGACACTGACTTTTTTAACTCAGCCAATACATAACAAGAATAATTAATTGAAAGAAGTAACTTGGTCAATTGACCACTAAAACGTAAAATGGATTAATATTTAATAAGTAAAAGAAGTATCACTTCACTAAACAGCTCCCAGTGCCACTTCATAAGTCGCCGGGTATCCAATCCCGATTAAACGACATTTGAAAATGGCAAAAAAGGGGGAAAATTGGAACGGTTGTAGGCTGAGATGGGGAGTTGGTATCCGAGTGGATCGAAGTCACGATAGCTCAAGTGGCTAGAGCAGCGGCGTATTGAGCCGAAGGTCGTGGGTTCGAATCCCGCTCATGACACTAACTTTTTTATTTCAACCAAAACCTTACATAAAAGATTAATTAATTGAAAGAAGTGATTTAATCAATTGACCACTAAAACATAAATGGGCTAACATTAACTTTAGTTTAAGTAACTTGAATAGTTGGCAATCTAATTAAAAATTATACAATATTAAATAACAGAATCCTTTAGGGGAAAAAATGCATTTCGAGAACCTTGATTTCTTGCTCTGACAGGATTTTTAAAGAATTGAATTTGAACTTAAAGAATATAAATTACGAAAATGCGAGAAGTCAATTAATTATATAACTTGTGTAATCAAAGAAGTGAGTTGCTGTACCTTTATTGTAGTATATTTAGGGTTCCGACAAGGCATTTATCTTCTCTTTACAACATGCCAGAGATTGAAAATGTCTATCACTTTATAGCGATTTGTCCCTGCTTTAAAAAGTTCAAGGTAAAATTCTTTCATAAAAGACTCTTTCACAAGGACTTTTAACATATGTTAATTGCTAAGAGAAGTGTTACGTTCAATTAATTATTATAAAACTGTATGGAACTATCGATATTTATTCAAAATTTCGAATTTCAAATGGATTTGTTCAAAATGCTTTTATTTGCCAGTCTAACTTTTTTTTCATTATTAATAGTTATTAATTCCATTATATATAGTGGTCTATTGATAGAATTATATCTTTCAATTAATTACTCTTTTTATGTAAGGTTTTGGCTGAAATGAAAATGCTAGTGTCACGAGCGGGATTCGAACCCACGACCTTCGGCTCAATACGCCGCTGCTCTAACCACTTGAGCTATCGTGACTTCGATTCACTCAGACCAACTCCCCATCTCAACCTACAACCTTTTGAATTTCCCTCCTTTTTGCCGTTTATCAATCAGGATTCGATTCTCAGCGACTTATGAAGTGGCCTCGGGGCGCTGTTAGTGAAGTTATACTTCGTTTTACTTATTAAATCCATTATATTTAGCGGTCTATTGACCAAACTATATCTTTCAATTAATTATTCTTTTTATGGAAGGTTTTGGCTGAAATGAAAAGGCATTTGTCAAGCAAAAGCTGCAGCAAAATAAAGCAGCAGGGTATTGAGCCAAAGGTCGTAGGTTCGAATCCCGCTCGGGGCACTAGCTTTTTCATTTCCGCCAAAGCCATACATAACAAAAATAATAGTTATTTATATTCAGCTTTCTCTCGGATTGAGTAAATATTCATATGCTTATTATATAATTTTCTTTATTATATTACATTATCATGTAATTTTAGTATTAATGTTATTATCGTTATTGATTTAATTTATTTAAATTTTTCCTTTTCAATATCCCTTATATTTTTAAGATAGATGTAGGTGTATTTTTTCTACATCGAGTAAATAAAAGATAATTATTATAAACTGTATTTATTTATAAACGAAAAAATGATGATTTGTTTTACTGATATATCACTGAATGTTCAATGTTCAAAAATTTAATTGTTTATTTGTTATGTACATACATGTTTATAACTAAGCAACAATTCCGCTGATGGTCATTGACCAAGCGCATGTCTAATAAGGCGCGTTTTTGTTGGTTTTTTGAAAGTGAAATCTTCCGTTTGTTAATATTTTTATTTCGCCGTTCTGATTGCTCAAAACTGTAAAGCTATCAGTTTATCAATAACCAACAAATTTTTAAAAACCAAATAATTTTTAAGTAAACTAGGTGATAAATGTTGTTCATGAAACTAATATGAAATTTTTTTAGCACCTCCAGAGTCCCTTAAACATACATTTTTGTTTGAATTTAAATTTATGCATTTCTTTACTCCTATAAATTTTTCCCGTTTTTGAGAAGTCGTTATAGGATATAAGAATGAAACGGCTCTAATTTTTTTTTGCTTGATGATGACGTGCAGCCACTGTGCACTGGTTAATAAATTAAGGTAATAAATAAATACCAATCTATACGGTAGCTCATTTAACAAATTATGTATACAGAGTGTCTAATCTAATGAGCCCACCCCATTTTTTTTTCTTTGCGGTTCTAGATTGGAAAAAAGTATGAATTTTTTAAAGATATGATTTCACACTTTTCTCTCTACTTGGGCTGATTTTCCCCTTCAAAATATTTGCAGTAGAAGGCAGTAAAAAAAGGTTTCGACCTAACGCATTAGAACAGCATTCCGGCTATTTTCAAAAAATCATATCTCCGGTTCCATCGGACCGATTTTAATAACTCAGTGCTCATTTTTCTCGGCAAAAAATTTAGTTTCAAAGAAAAATGTGTAAAATGGGGTTCTCATTTAAAATTAAGTATTCGAATTCGTCTTACGTCGAAAAAAATAAATCAACCTTACATGAACAAACTTAAAGGTGGCCATTCACGATCACTCCAAATGGAACCTCGCCAAGCCGTATAGCTCCATTTGGAGTGCCTGAAATTTGAGGGTCATTCACGACCGCTCCACAGCCAGTCGCTCCGAACGTCAACCAGTGAATTACCTTCTCAAAATGGATGACGATCTCTTGTCTTCTGTTTATTTACATATTAAAAGCAAAAAATCGAAGAGAAAATGGTGTAAGAAGTGGCTCCTGAACAGAAGCCGTCATACCCACATCAATTTGATGAAAGAACTTTCCCTTGAACCCGCTGATTGGAGGAACTATTTAAGGATGGATGAAACGTCTTATTTATTCATTATATTTAGTGTTCTATTGACCAAATTACTAATTATTTCAATTATTTCATCTTTTTTGTAAGGTTTTGGTTGAAATGAAAAAGCTAGTGCCACGAGCGGGATCTGAATCCACGACCTTCGGCTAAATACGCCGCTGCTCTACCACTTGAGCTATCGTGACTTCGATCCTCTCCGACACCAAAAAATGGCAAAAACAGAGAAAATTCGAAAGGTTGTAGGTTGAGAAACAGTAAACCTGAAGTCAATACAAATTTTTGGTTGCATATAGGAACCCCTTCGTGTGGCTTTTATTGCGACTGTATTTATTAGCGCACATGGATGAGTGTAAATGTGTGCGGTCGAGTTTGAGACGGAATGTACCTCACTCGTCAAAGTAGTCTTGGTTAATGTAAGTATGTGGTATGAAGGGATAGGGCACTGGAGTAATACAACAACCTCGGTGACTATCCCGAATGTGTGAATGTATTTATAGGCGCAAATGTGTAGTATGTATAGACGGGTTTGCGGCGGAGTACCCCATGGACCTGTCAATTCCACGCCTGAAAAATGACAAAAAAGGAGGGAAAATTCGAAAGGTAGGTTGAGATGGGAGGTTGGTGTCCGAGTGGATCGAAGTCACGATAGCTCAAGTGGTTAGCGCAGCGGCGTATTTAGCCGTAGGCCATGGATTCAAATCCCGCTCGTGGCACTAGCTTTTTCGTTTCAACCAAAACCTTACAAAAAAAGAGCCGAATGTCGTGGATTCGAATCCCCTCGTGACACTATTTTTTCATTTTAACCAAAACCTTACAAAAAAAAAAGATTAACGTCTTATTTATATTTACTCCAGCTTGTTAACGCCTTGATTAGAAAACAAAAGACAGTCATGAGAGAAATCATCACTACATGAAAGGTTGGCAACCACATTACGATTTCTCGCTACAGGGATGAACTACAAAGAACTTAAGTTTTCTACTACGATTTCTTATTAGCTCTTAGGAGTTATCAATACGGCATTTCTCGTTGCATTTGTATCCTTTGTTTTGAAAACGTCGACCAACTTGTTGAGGATCGAATTTTCTATCGTGGTAATCAGTGTCCACCACTATCCATAAACATGGTAAACTTTCATACAATTCAATCACCTCAACAATAAAATCTCGATTGGATGTCATTACAAATAAAGAATAAACGTTTTTGACTTTTTGAGAATGTACGACGGAGATGTTTGCTCAGTGACAGAAAGACGGAGACTGCGCCAAAAAAACGAGCGTTTTCCCATTCACGACCAGGCCAGCGCGCCAAAATCCCCACCCTCCACGCCAGATTTTCCCATTCACGAACGCGCCATAGATATTTGGAGTGGCGCGATGGAGTTTGGACCGGTCGAATATTCGGCACAGCCGGCCACGCCAGTTTTGCCATTGACGTGGTTTTTGGAATTGCATCGCTCCGTTTGGACTGCTAGGAGAGACCGTGAATGGCCACTTTTACTTGTAGGAATCTGAAAATTCCGTTGTATGCCATATTGGATATCTGCCTGTATGACAGATTGCAGATTGAAAGGCTTTGTTATTTTTTTTAAATTCGCAATTCTTTCAAGTAATCTTTCTCCTCTTATTTCGTGTTCCGGGCATATAATTATTATATGCATCATACCCATGCATATGCAATAAAAATATATTAAAATTAAAAATTACCAAAGTTTATCAATAACCAAAATATTTTTAAAAAAACCAAATTAGGTCATATTTTCTGTGTAACTAGAAAGTTCGTTGTAGCACCTCTAGAGACCAATAAAATAAACTTTTGTTAAAATTTAAATTTACTGATTTTTTGACCGCTAAACTCAGTTAACGGAATGTTTAATTAACACTATAATTAAAAAACGGCTAAAAGGATTTTAACGTCAACCATTGAAGACCATTTGAAAGAAGAACATAGCTTTTTAATGTAAATTTTGTATGTACTATTAAAATATAAATAATATTAATTCACTACTTTTGTGGTCCGCTTGACCAATTAATACATGACAATTAATTAAGGTTTTTAATTGAGATGAAAAAAGTTAATGGCACGAGAGGGATTCGAACCCATGACCTTCGGCTAGATACGCCGCTGCTCTACCACGTGAGCTATCGTGACCTCGATCCCCTCGGACATCAACTCCCCATTTCAACCCCACCTTATGAGTTTTCCCTCCTTTTGCCATTTTTAAATTGTCGTGTAATCGGTTTGGATTCTCGACGACAATTGTATTAATTGGTCAAGCGGACCACGAAATTAGTGAATTTAATGATTAAAATGAAGTACACTTCACTAAAGCTCTCCGTGGCCATTTCAATTGTCGTCGAGAATCCAAACCGATTACACGACATTTGAAAAATGGCAAAAAGGAGGGAAAACTCATAAGGTGGGGTTGAGATAGGAAGTTACCTTAGGAACCTTAATTAATTGTAATAAATAATATTTCTATCAATTTGATAAAGTTAAATAATAAATAAAAAATAAATTTAAATTCAAACAAAAAATTAAATTTAGATTCTCTAGAGGTGCTAAAACAAAATTGCATATTAGTTTCACGAAAAAGTTATGACCATGTTCACTTGAAAACTGTTTCGTTTTTAGAAATTTTTTGGTTATTGGTAAACTTTGATAGCTTTGACTATATTTTTGTTCCAATTTACATAAAAAATCTGTAAAATGATAGATTCACATTGCGGATTTGAGGAAAGTACAACGACGAAATAAAAAATTAAAAAACGAAAAATCTCATCTTTAAAAAAAAATTATTTAGATTCTCTAGAGGTGCTAAAACCAAATTGCATATTAGTTTCACAAAAAAAAAAATTACGACCATGTTCTCTTTAAAACGATATGGTTTTCAGACATTTTTTGGTTTTTGGTAAACTTTGATAGCTTTGACTATATTTTTGTTCCAACTTACATCAAAAATCTGTAAAATGATATTCACGTAGCGATTTGAGCAAAGTACAACGACGAAATAAAAGATTAAAAAACGAAAAATCTCATCTTTCAAAACAAAACAAAAATTGTCGAAACCAAGGTTTATTCAGAAATAGTGGCGGATACGATTTCGATATTTTGGAGTGTAGATTCACCAAAAAAAGTTTGGTCCACATCCGTGACCCACCAACATGGTCCTCCCCTTGTAAGTATAATGTTTCCAATTGTTATTGTATGTTGTACAGAAAATCAATAAAGACATTTATTTATCTATCCGAACGCTACTTATATCTGTAACGAATGAATTCATAAAATATGTACTTCTAGCCTTAAAGGTAACTTACTTTTGGCTTTACTTCGAACAACTGTTTGGGAAGCAGGTATATCGGGAGGTGACTCTTGATTACTCTTGGTGACTTAGCTTTTTCCACTCTAGTTATGCTGTCTTCGGTCTCATCCGGTAACATTCCTCCAATGGCGTTGAACCTTGAAATTGAATTTTTTGACGTTAACAACAGAAACTAATACAAATAAAACCTGTCGTACTCCAAAAATACGGATCTGTGATAGAGAAAACTAGATTTGGCCAGGTCGAAATCGAAGTCGTTCATCATCAACCAGACCATCTCTTGAGTCCATGTAGTGCCTGTCAACAACATTCAACTCTTCCAGGACAATTTAAGACAAGGTTTAGACGATTTTTTACCGCATTTCGGATACGTGATGACCCAGACGTCGTCCGGCCGCACGCGTAAGTTCCTGATTCTTTCCGACTGGTCCAAGTAGGTCTCCGGCATCAAACATTTCCCCGGAGGAATTCTGTATATGGCGTGCGGTACGTCTTTCCCCGACTCCGAGATGAGAAGTGCGATTGTCGGGTCCGTGCTCATATCCATTCTGGAATAATTTCGCTTGTTTATCAAATCTTGCCATCTCTTTTATTTGATTAATTTTAATGTGTGGTGTTTAGTGACAGTTAATTAATCGTGAGATGCGTTCTGGTGTGACGTAGGTTTAGAAAAACATTTTCTTAATCGTGCCAACGTTTCGATCTTTATTGAGATCATCTTCAGGGCCCAAAGTGTTTGTTTTCCATGTAGATGTATCATTCTTGTGTGTCGTATTGAGAGGGCCACTTTGAGCTCTGAAGATGATCTCAATAAAGATCGAAACGTTGGCACGATAAAAAAAAATGTTTTTCTAAACCTACGTCACACCAGACCGCATCTCACGATCTCCAAATAATCATTCATTTTAATCAATTAATTAATCCTTATGTAAGGTAGTGGTTGAAATGAAAAAGTTAGTGTCACGAGCGGGCTTCGAACCCACGACCACGAAATATAATAGATTTAATAAGTAAAACGAAGTATATCTTCACTAAGAGCTCTCCGTAGCCATTACATTTGTCGCCGAGAATGGAATCCTGATTACACATTTGCAAAATGGCAAATAGGGGGGGAAAATTCTAATGGTATGTTGAGATAGGTAGTTGGTGTCCGAGTGGATCGAAGTCACGATAGCTCAAGTGGTTAGAGCAACGGCGTATTGAGCCGAAGGTCGTGGGTTCGAATCCCGCTCGTGACACCAACTTTTTCATTTACATAAAGATTAATTAATTGAAAGAAGTTTAGGCAATCGGACCACGAAATGTAATAGAATTAATTTTAATGTTTTCTGTCGGAAATCTTTATGTCGTAGGAAGTGTATTATAAAAACCATTCTTCATTATGTTCAACTAAATATATTTTTCTGTAACTATACGGAATAACGTAACAAACTCAAACAATTAAATACAAATTGATAATTATAAACTTTATTATTATAATTATAAAAATTACATAACAGGGGCGGTTCATACTGGCCTTTTTTACTGACAATACACCATACATTGGGATGGCGTTTTTTGCCAAAGTTACTTAACCTGTTTAAAGCTATTTTCTTTTATATGTGATATAATAAGAATGTTGATTTAAAGAGCAGAAAAATTTTCCTGGGCATTCAACTATTTTATTCCACCCAAATATGCAGAAATTGAAAGAGGTTTAGATTCAGTGTACTCACATTTTTTGATTCATAAGTAGCATTGAGTAGTAGTATTGAGATTGTCTTTATAGTTATATAGGTTGTCGACAATTTGAGGTTAATAGACAGGAATATTACAAAACATATTTAAATAAAAGCAAAATAAAGTCTTTGTAAGATACAAATTAATGTGTCAAAAGTCCAGCAATGACTTGGTACGTTTTCTTCCCTGTCCAGAATGAGCAGTAATAAAATGTACGTACTGTTTAAATTATAAAGTTAATTAATTAATTATTCAACGCAAGTCATAAATTAACTAATTAATGATAAGTACATTCCATGACAATTTGGGGTGGTGGTGAATCCTGGTTGGTGATGAATCCGTGGTGTATTATTGTAACAATGTCTAAATTATCTGCCCAATTATTTAAAAGATAAAACTCATTTTATTTTGAATAGAAAGGGAAATCAGAGTTTTTTAAATAACTGGCGGTCCAGTTGTCGAATTTCACGGTCTCTTCTTCGGTGAGGACCTTCTTCCAGGCGCCGGACTCTCCTTGGCGGATGAAACTGACGTCTTTGTTCATTTCTTTCGCCTCGGCTTCGAAGTTGACCGCGGGGTTGTCTTTCATTTTGCGGAAGCTGAGGTGGTCCAGGAGTTCGTCTTCGACCTCCTCCGGGATGGCCACTCCCAGAAAATCCGCCGTCTTATGCGCTACCGCGCGCAGGTCCTGTGAAAAGAAAGAAACCCATTTCAGACAACAAACCAAGATAACAAACATTTCTCTTTTAAAATATTCAACGCAATATTTCAATAGTTAAAAATCGTGCTGGTCTTTAAAATTAAAAACAACGATATCGACAGTGTATAATTTATGAGTTTTCACCAGCATTCAGTCATTTTAAATTAAATTTAATTAAAAATGAACATCTCAACTAAACAATTTTAATTAGAAATAGATCCATACATTTCGATCAATAATAAATAATCGGTCGGACAACAAATCAGCAACTGCATGACAATCGCAAGTGGTGCAGTCTAATTTTTAATTAAATGTATTTTACAATTGTGCTACTGACAACGATGTGACCTACTGGAAGCTAAGAATCCATCTAATAACCTACCAGTCTAAAAGCTGTCAAACGACAAATCGATCAATCAGCCTGGCCGTTAAATTTGTTTTGCATTACCGTCTCGACAATAGCTCTATTGTGCGTGGTACAAACCTTTTTCATATCTTCGAACGTGTTGAACAGAATGTTCGGTTCTTCCCTTTTATCCCAAAAGGGTAAGACGTGTTCCCAGAAAGGGCTCGACGTCACTGAAAAAGAAAAACCGATTTAAGTCATTGTCGGCGCGGATACTTGCAATGAACCTTTGTCCTCCCGGAAAGCTTTGACGAAATCGTCTTGCGAGCCCGTGAACTCGTTCCAAAGTCGGTGGTGGTGGAAATACGAAATGGCGACGTCCTTTGGGTTTCTGTACACGTAGATGATCTGAAATGAGATGGGCTTAGAACCGTTCCTCTGGTTTTTGTGTCAAATCGTTACCTTGGGCTTAACCTCGAACAGTTTCTTCGGGAGGAGGTATAACGGCAGGTGGCTCTTTACGACCCTTGGAGATTTCATCTTTTCGACCAGATCAACTGTATCGTCACTTCCGTCTTTTTCCCTGAAACCCCCGATCGCATTGTACCTGCAAAAACGTATGCCTCAGAGTCCTCCAACATCCAATGATGATATCACTTCTTACTCCAGAAAGACACTCCTGACGTGTAACAACGTAGATTTGGCTTTCGCGAAATCGAAGTCGTTCAACAAAAGCCAGACCATCTCTTGAGTCCATGTAGTGCCTGAAAAAGAAAGCCTATCGGGTATTCGACACACCGGTCATTTTTATATCCAATAGGTCGGTCATACCGCATTTGGGAAAGGTGATGATCCAAACGTCGTCCGGGCGCACCTCGAGGTTACGGATCCTGTCCTGGTACTTCAAAAATTCATTTGGCAGCATGCAATTCCCAGGAGGCACCTTTACATCTGCGGTCGGCATGCCACCGACTACCTGAGACATCAACTTGGCTACGGTCGGATCGTTTTTCATGTCCATCTCGTGGTTCTATAACCGAAAACGTTCAACGAATGCTCATTAAAACAAAACAAAAATTCACAAACACTGAAATCGCATTTTTCTTTTATTCAGGCTCTTTATATAACAAAAACTAACTACTCATTAAATAAGAGAAATGTTTAGCAAAGTAATATTTCAATAGAAGACCAAACCATCTACCATTTTGGCCAGTAAAATGAGCTGGTTAACTTAAAGTAACAATTTTACGCAAACTAATTGATTTTGGTTGTAAATCGGTAGATTAATTGATTAAGCTTAAATAAAATTAACGACATTATTGATATACATGGTAATGCATGGTAAATTCAGGAACACTGCATTAAGAAAAAGAAGACAAAAAAATTTAGCTGTTACTGCCAAGCTTTTGACTTGTTTTAATATCATAAGTAAGGTAAAACATTGCCAAAGACTGTAACAGTGTTAACCATTAACGACATAGACAACCTCTGGCGCGGTTGTTACTGTTGATCACATTTATGCGATGCTACCAGGCGCCTTGTCACGTTTTGGTAGGATGTGCACTTCTATGCGACGCCAAGCGGACCCTACGTACAGTCACACAGCGTGTATCACAAATCAGTATCACAATCGCAACGCCTCTTTTGTTCTTAATGCACTACTTTGAGCACAACCATGTAATAAATTGTTAGTTAAACTTAATTGTTTTAAATAAAGTTATTCCGGTGTTTTGATAAATTTTCTGCCTAACCATCATAATTAAATAATTTTGATAAAAACTCAAGAATTTTTGATCTCGTTTAATTTGGTTTACATTAAAATAGGAATGTTGTAATTAATATAACGACAAAATTACATATACTTATTTTGAAATAAACTAAAAAAATATGAATGTCCTGTTCTGACGCTACTCGACGAAACTGGTGTAATTTTATGAGCAAAACCGTGTAATAAATTGTTAGTTAAATTCATTCTATCAATAAATGGTACTGCGGTGTTTTGATAAATTTTCTGCCCAATGTGTAGAGATTAGTGACCGTTAATCGATAGTAATTCAGATATCGTGAGATGCGGTCGGGTGTGATGTAGGTTTCAGAAAAACATTTTCTTTATCGTGCCAACGTTTCGATCTTTATTGAGATCTTCTTCAGGGCCTGGGAATTACAAACATTGTTTACATATAACAATTACATTTTGGATGTGGAAAAGTGAATTTATACAAAATATATATATTTTTTTTTTTATATTCAATCAATTGTTATATGTAAGCAATGTTTGTAAATCCCAGGGCCTGAAGATGATCTCAATAAAGATCGAAACGTTGGCACGATAAACAAAATGTTTTTCTGAAACCTACATCACACCAGACCGCATCTCATAATTTCTAAATAAATTTAAAAAAATAGAATATTAATAGACACTTTTCTATGTTTCGGATTCTTAGCAGTCATTGGTTCCCGGCATAACAGAGGGTGAAGCTGGTAAACAGGCAAAAAGATCACGGTAAGGAAAATAGAAACAAAAATCAGAACATTACAAGAGGGGCGCAGGGCTGCACACGCAGTGACTGGCACTCTCAACACGACACACAAGGATGGCACAATTACACAGAAGACAAACACTTTGAGCCCTGAAGATGATCTCAATAAAAGATCGAAACGTTGCCACGTTAAAGAAAATGTTTTTCTGAAACCTACATCACACCCGACCGCATCTCACGATATCTGAATTACTTTCTGCCCAATCATTAAAATTAATTTTTTTAAATAAAAACTAACGAATTTTTGATCTCGCTTAATTTGTTTTATATTAAGGTAAGTATGTTGTAATAAATATAACGACAATAATACATGCAGTTTGAATAAAAGTATGGGTGTCCGGTACTTTTGTCTTCGACTGTACTAGATGCGACCCGATGAAAATCTGGACAGTGGGGATCGCAGAGCGTAGAGTAGGGTAGCGTTGCGTGGCATCGGGCAGATGTGCATGGGGGTAATACAATCTTACGGAAAATTGGACTTTGGATTTGCTTCGGGTAGCGTCTCGTGGCGTCGCATCGGCTAAATGTGTTTCCCGCTTTGAGTCGGTCTTCAAAGAAATTTGACATCCCCTGTAATTAAACTAAATATGACAATCTGTAGTCATATTTAATATTGTTTTGCCCTGATGATGACCTTAAAATAGGCCGAAAGCTTGGCAGTAAAAACTGAATTTACTTTTTTCTTCAAGACCATACCTTGATAGAAAGTGTTCGCGAGTGAAATATACCGAGTGTCGATACTTTAAATATTGAAAATAAAACTTCAATATTTACTTCCAATATTTAGTAATATATTACAGGCTCACCTAATATCTAGCATTCTGTCTTTTTTCCTTTTCACTATCGTATTTTATTTATTGGGCAGACTGCTGCACATTTGGAGAGTACTTTGTTAAGCAGTCTATAAATGTCTGCCTATAGTTACGAAGAACTTTTTCAACCGTTATGCCGCGATATTTTGGAAGTTTGATGTTAAATTTGAGAAAATTATTCATTAAATTGTAACATCTAATTGCTCGATAACTGTACCGATGATCAATTGAAAATCAAATTCACAGAGTTTATCAGAATTATTATATTATCATTACTAAGTAAGAACGTTCCGTCGAACACATAAAAACAGAAACGAACTTTGTGTGTACTTACCTTTGCACGTAATCAAAATGTAATGTCCACGGTTCACTTCCTTTTAACAGCTATCCTTCCACCTAACCATATTGACTTGTGGACAACGCCGCACACGTCCAAATTTATAAAACTTTTCGTTGTGCTTTTGCATGTATAAATATGATAAGTCAATTGTAATACACACAAGCATGTCATACAGTTGTATTACTGTTTCAAAATGTATGTACAAAATTTGTTTCAGATACAGTTTAATTTGCAAGTTCCAGACGTCCATGACGTTAATAAGTCTATTAGTCTGGCATCGAAGTAGAAGTAAAGTAGAGATGTTAGTGACAATACAAATTATAAATAGTGGAAAGGAATGTCTTAATTTTTCGGAGTTAAAGTACGTACTAACCCTCCAGCCGTGGAATTTACGCGCATGACTCTCCGATTTAAACAAAACTTCCGTAGTACCTCCAAGCCCAACTTTTAGGAGAGGCGAAGTTCAGGAAAGTCGGTTGATCAGTTAGAGAGTTATTAAAAGAAATGTGTTCTGAGCGACCACTACACACCGCGGATATACCCCACCAACTGCCACAACTTTTTCAACCAACGGAAACTTATAGAATATCGTCAAAAAATTTTGCTTTTCACTTTAAAAAATCAATTTCTACCATTCATGCGCCAATTACTAAAATATGATGACAAGAAGAAGAAAAAGCTGTTTGGAAAAGGTATATTTTTTTTAATTAGATCGAGCCAAATTTCAGGTTCAAAAGATAATTTTTGACACCATTTTATCAACAACATATTTCTAAAAGATTTCAAAAAGTACTTCTGAGATCGTAACGATGAACTAGATTATCGACATGCTGTAAACATGAAGTCTTTTCGGAGGATCAACAAAAGAGGTCAAACACAGAGAAAATTCCTTTCGGTTTTCGCCGAGCTTTCGACAGTTTTATATTGTCATCTTCAGGGCCTGTTTTATTATCATATAAAAAAAAACAATTAAAACATGAAAAAAAAATAAATTACACAAAAATTGAATCTTACTTAAACCTTAATGGGGAATTAAACGACATGGTGTTTTGGGCACAGAAGTACATTATGTTTTTTGGGGCTCAGCATCTAAACATTATTTAAATTGAATAAATTAATAATTTAAAATTANTGAGGTAACCTTTCTCGACCACGTTTTTAATTATTATTGTAATTTTTAATTATTAATGTATTCAATTTAAATAATGTTTAGATGCTGAGCCCCAAAAAACATAATGTACTTCTGTGCCCAAAACACCATGTCGTTTAATTCCCCATTACGGTTTAAGTAAGATTCTATTTTTGTGCAATTTGTTTTTTTTTTTTCATGTTTTAATTGGTTTTTTATATGATAATAAAACAGGCCCTGAAGATGACAGTATAAAACTGTCCAAAGCTCGGCGAAAACCGAAAGGAAGTTTTCTCTGTGTTTGACCTCTTCCGTAGATCCTCCGAAAAGACTTCATACTTCTGAGATCATTCATCCAAGCAGCCTTAAAAAGTTTACATACAACAAACTCCTTCCATGGTAAATGGTAAATGCATCCTTGATCTCCAAAAGCTCGGAAGACATAACAACCTGACAGACTGCAATTATTGAATGCCAGGGCATATAGGAATTCTGGATAGTAAACAAGCAGACTAGCCAGAGGTATGAAACAGTCCCTATAAAGGCCCAGAAACTAGGATTAATATACCAATATCAAACAGTGAATCCACTTACAATTATTTAAGGTTTTCAGTTGAGATAAAAAAGTCAGTGGCACGAGCGGGATTCGAACCCACGATCTTCGGCTTGATACGCCGTTGCTCTACCACTTGAGCTATCGTGACCTCGATCCACTCGGAAACTCGGAAAATGTAGTTGAGATGGGAATTGGTGTCCGAGTGGATCGAGGTCACGATATCTCAAGTGGCAGAGCAGCGGCGTATCAAGCCGAAAATCGTGGGTTCGAATCCCGCTCTTGCCATTGACTTTTTTATCTCAACTGAAAACTTTAACTAATTGAAAGATATTAATTGATCAAGCGGACCATGAAACTAGTGAATTGAATCCACTATTTCACAAAAAAATAGAAATGGAATAATTACAGAGATGCCAGGCTATTAAACTCATAATTAAAGAAACCTCGCCAAAACTAGAAAACACGACAATTAGGTAAGAAAAAATTCAGGGATGATAGGGTTATATGCTAGCCAATGGGATAAAAGAAAATCGTTAAAATTGTTAGATGTATTGTCCACTTTTTTAATCACGAATAAACTGAATCTCGGTATGATTTGGATGAAGAAACAAAGAGTAAAACAGTCTTAAATATGTCTACATATAGACATAATT